ATAGTTCCGTTAGAGTACGGCAGTGTGAAGATTGTATATAGATATTAGACAAGCGAGCTAGGACAACTTTTAAGGAAGGTACAAATCGGATCGGAAAAAAAGATTTCTAGTAATTTCAAGTAAAACTTTAAAAAATAAAACTACCCAAATTATTTTCAATTAAAAAAACTCTTAAAGTATACAAAATATTCGAATTTCCAAAATTATAGACAAATAAAAATTGACAAACATAGGAGCAAGAACTTTTGGTCAAATTCTTTAACATTTTGTTAAAATGATTTTTAATAAAATTTATACTTAGAAAACAATGTCTGAGACTTTTTGAAACATTTTCTGTGACAGAATACACAAAAAACATACAAATAAAACGTTCAAAAATTTTACCAAAATCTCTTGTTCTACGATTTTTGACAATTTTCAAGTGTCCATAGTTTTTTTTTTATATTTTAAATTTTTGCATATAATAAAAATTTTTTTTAAATAATCTGACGAAGGTAAATAAAAACCATTTTTTGTTTATTCTGCCCTGAGAGACAATATTTTTCGCTAGAACAATGTCTCAGACGTCGTTTCGATCAGAAATGCTGTTTCCGCCCTACAATCTGTTACGCTATAGTGAAAATTTTACAGTATACCATAGCATATAATTACGCAAAGTTCCATATAAATCGGAGAAGTTCTGTTACTTCTATTTTATATAAGGACCATTAATTCAAAACTAACAACTTGAAATTTTACGACACGTATGAGTAATAAATAATGTCTATAAAAACCGTGCTGAAATGCTTAATATTTTATTTTTCATAGCTATCCACAGCTCCTAAGACATCACTTTAAGCTGCTTGACTACTAAATAATCATCTAAAATGTTTTTTCTAGCCTTACGATTGAATGCCCATTTTACCGCAATGCCTGTCCGTTTTACTTCAACCTCCAATAGGAAATTCCACAAGAAAGCATTTTTTGGTTTTAATTTTAAAATGTAGAATATGAGTACTTATGTAAAATTAAATTCATATCTGTATTTGGTATCAAAGAACATAAGTTAAACTAACATTGAATCTAACTAGATACTCAGCATACACTTATTTCCATCAAAAACAACATCAGGTGCGCATTATACCCCCACCACCACACTTGGAAACGTCCCTCGAATTCTACTGGGTACCAATGCCACCGACGCCAGGGAGGCAGCTCCCATATCTGGACCCTACATATCGACCCATCAACATGAACCGGGGACCAACGGCTTTTTACTGCCCTTCTGAAGAAAATCCCGGCGCCGAATGGGATTGAACCCAGGCCCTTTGGCGTGAGAGGCAATCACGCTTACCACCACACCACCGCCGCTAGAAAGACTTAGGATGAGTAGGAGTGGCATAGTGAACAGGTGGGGGACAATGAGCAGCTTTAGCCGAGGGGCACGCAATTCAAAGAACCGGTGCGTTGCAGTTAAAATGCAATCAATATTTAAAGTAATTAACGCGTTATAAAGTAGTACTGACGGTAATTAAAATTACCTATCCGTACTGCATGTAATTAAAAATATTGGAAATGGAATTAACGTACTTTAATTACGAAATTTCGCCTGTTGGACATTTTAATGGACTGAAAAAGTAATGTCGTACACCGTGTAATTAAAGCAAAAGTTACTGGAATTAATTTGATTACAGCCGTTGCGTTGCCTGCGTCGGTGTTAAAGGTTTTTACGATCCCCTAGACTTTAGTCTTAAATTTCTAATTGTTTGATACATGGAGAGCTGTCAGGGCAGCCGAGACGAGCGGTCGCATGTTTTCGCGTGTGACAATTTGATTAAATTAGTTTTTGTGTTTCGTTCTCGAGTGAGTTTTTTGAATGTGGTATTGTGAAGTTGTGAACCGGTTATCGAATTTTATTAGTTCCGGGCCCAGTGCGTTGTAGCTTAAGTTTTGTTTCGGAATCACTGCTGCAATTGTGCTCTGTATGCTGCTCTCACATTCTCTATTGAGATCCGGGATAACCTTGCTAACGCTTGATCTATTGTTTGTACGATGAGCCAGATTTTCAAGAATGTGGGCTTGACACTTGACCGATTAGATTAGCAGAGGTAAACACGGTCCCAAAAACAACAAAGGCCATTCTAATAATATTCCTTCCCTACTTCCCTACCTGTTTGCAAGGACGTGGCTAGCGCCATTATTGAGCTTTAAATATGGAACCACTGAAACTTGTACATTGAGAATGGATGGTTACTCCCAGCCCATTCAGTTGATTCAATGTTCAATTTCACTGATTCTGATCAATAACGGAGCAGCAACCATTGATATGTACAGTCAGTCGATGTCTGTACAATTTTTGCATTGGTTTAATTGTGTGGCAAGTCCAATCATACTTCTATGCCCAGGGAAGTCGAGAAATTTTCCAATCCGAAAAATTCCTAGACCGGACCGGGAATTGAACCCAGCCACCTCCAGAATGGTCTTGCTTTGTAGCTGCGCCTTTACCGACTGAGCTAAGGGAGGCCCAATTCTATTCTATTCCAATTCTAATTCCAATTCTAATTGCTCTAAACAAATTAATTTGTCGTAGTTTCAATATTGATATTGAGCCTACTATCAATTAATTGTTGTTGAACAATTATAAATTTAAGACTAAATACAGGATGATCATTATGCCCCACCTCACCGCTTCATTTAGAATCTTCTTTAGATGCTTGTTTTAGAAGTTTTTTTTTCTCTGTAGAATCTTCTTTTAGAAGCTTATTCTAAACGCTTGTTCCTCGCTCTGCACCTCTAACTAAACAAAACACGAACAGGACAGTAAATCTGAGTAGTTAGGCGGCAATTGAGCATTTTTCCATGGTTTAGGGTGCATTTAATAGATTTAATGTTACAAAAACAATTTTCTCAATCAGAGCATGAACATGAGCATGAGGATTGATGACCCTACAATTCATACATGCTACTCCACGATTGAATAGATACAGAAAAATTTGACCACATGAACGCTTGAGATTGGCAATGAATTATCTTTGTGCGAGTTCTGGTTAATCAGAATTTTCAAGATCAGAAGTAGTGCTGACCAAGTGTTCAATATCATCGGAGAAAGGAGGGATTGTTAGTATGACAGACGTTGCCAGTAGTAACCGAGAACGCATGCATTATAACATCTATCATCGGAAGGGAATTTAAGCTAGTGAAGAAGATAGCAATCAGGTCCACCATGCACCGTTCGAAAAATTCATGTAAATTTCTGCGAGATATAGCGCACATAAAATTAATGCTAGATTTGGCAAAAATTTACGTCATATTTCGGGTAAATTTAAGCGCAATATCGCATAAATTAGCAATATTGTATGCAAGCTTGTAAACGATTTCGCTGTTTATGCCAATTATAGCTCAAAATTGAACGAAGGGAGGTTTTACGCGATAGTTAAAAATAAGATATTTTTTTGTCTGTGTGGTAAGAGAGGTGCTTGTTTGATTGTACTGTACTAGCAACTCTTTACTCTGGGATTGATCGCATGATCTTCTGCTAAGTTAGCAAACATTGCCACCACAAGGCCCACACTTATAATCAAGTTTCCGATTGTAATGATGTAACCGTTCATTGGTTTGAACGACGACGAAAGTCACATGAAATTTAACATTAGCAGGGAAACGACAGCAAAGAAGTCATTTCGTCATGATCTTCATCGAAAGAATCAATCATGATTTTTATCCAACATCTGATTGTACCGTGAACAGCAATTCTTCGGACCGAATTTTTTTTTTAATGCTCAATAAGTAAAAATTATAACTGCTAGGTCACCAATAGGGTGCTTCATTCTGAAAAAAGTGATGAATTTCTGATGGGCCACCCTCCAGTTCGATTCATAGCCCCAAAATATGAACCTGTGCAAAAATTGGTAAAGATTGATGAAGGTTTAGAGGTCGCGCCAATGATTTGAAATTTGTATGGGAATTACTATGGAAGAATTTAAAAAATCGCTTATATCGCTATAACTTTGCTTCTACTTGTCCAAATGTCGAAAAAATTTAGTATGTTATTGCTATGGCAATAAACAAAAAGCCTACAGTTGCTACGCTCAGTTTTGCAGCGTATCAAGAATTATAAAAATGTGAAAAAATGGCAAAATAGGGTAAATTGACAGATGAATATGTACAAGGCAACAACGCCAATTTCATCGCAACAACAACAGGCTTGTTGATCATTGTCATGACAACCACATATTTTTTTTTTTCAACGTTTGGACAACTACAACCAAAGTTAGAGCAATGTAAACGAAAATCAATAATTTCCCATACTAATTCACCAAAATCTCCATACAAAATCCAAATCATTGGCGCGACCTCTAAACCTTCATCAATCTTTACCATTTTTTGCACAGGTTCATATTTTGGGGCTATGAATCGAACTGGAGGGTGGCCTATCAAAAATTCATCACTTTTTTTCAAAATGAAACACCCTAGTCACCAAGCACCCTCTAAAACAACATACCACTTATGATCGAATTGTCGTTCGTTACTATCAATCAAATCCAGCAGATTTGTATTAAATGTTAATTTAAGCACAATACCACATATATCATCAATGTTGCATACAAGTTTGTAAACAATGTCGTTGTATATGCCGCAACTACAGCTTAAAACTAAACGAGGGGAGATTTTACGTGATAATAAAAAATCATAATTAACTGTGCACAGCCATTTCCATGCCTGTTAGTGTGAAACAAGTTCAGGCTGATCTACATGAAGAGTAAGGACTGTTAAGTTGCTGATTTTTTTTTTCTTTCGTAATCCAATTCATACGAGGGGCATCGGAATTAATGGTAGATGCAATTATAAATTAATTCCTGCACGGCTGGTGCTTTCATAACCACTCCCGGCAATACAGTCCAATCAGCTAAGTTCTAAGCTCAAACACTCCCAATATTGTCGATACAATTTCTGAACTCATACAATTCTGTATTCAAATTCAACGGCATAAATGTTTGACGCACTTTTTTTTTGGATTTCAGCATGGATCAGCTCAACACATCATTTATTTGTGTTAACGGTAAGCAACAGTATTTTTGTCCCACTTTAAATGTTACTACAGTTTTTCGTTAGCCTCCTGCATTCAATTGAAATAAAATGCAAGTTTACTTAAGCAATGTACCGTTTTTGAATTATTCAAAATGACCAATGGAAGATTGGACATTTGCTTCGACCTCTAAATGATGCCAACGGGATGGGAGAAATAACGACAGGATAAAGCTTAGTTGTATAGGAACCACATTTGTTGACAGGCCGGTGACACAAAAGCCGAAGTAATTGAAGGACAGATCTGTCACAGTCGTAAAATGAGTGGCCAGTAGCTACGGAACAATAAATCAATTTTAGTACCCTTTTTAATGTCCTTTCGGTCAGCCGTTCCGCAGTGCATGGCTAGGAGCATTCCTTTTTCTGATGAGTACAACAAACTTAGACAGTTAGTTACGAGCCATCGGTCATTCTGCAATGAATCGGCAATGCAAAAAATAAAATCGTTCAATCCAATTTGCACACTTACAGCTGTGATACACATTTTCCATTCCAGAGAATGTTTCGATATGATAAAATACACCTACTCTTAATGAAATGAATAATCACTTAAGGAATAGGAAAATTAATATCATAGTTGTTTTGAGACACTTTGGCATAGCGGTACATTCATGAAGCATCCGCTTGACTGGCCTAGAAAACGTCCAACGGTTAGTGAAAATAAAGTGCCCCGACTCACGATGCACCATGGAGCGAATTGATAGAACATGCAAGCAAATAGTCAAATGCTGCTGGTAATCTCATATATTCAAGAGAGTGGACAGCACGTTACGGGTTTACATCAGCAGGTATGTAGGCACTGAAGGTAGTTTCAAAATGAGTTGCAACATAAGTGTCCGTGATAAATTTCCTTGGTACGCACTGGGACATCTTTCCGGAGCGCCCACAGTGGAGGATGGAAACTATAACGATGCCTGGAAGTATAACAGCAAAATGGCCTAGAATAAAACCGAATGATAGCCATTTTTCATTCGAGAATCTGATGTGAGTTTCTGTAGGACCGATCCTGTTGGACGTAGTCCGATCCACAGCATGTCTTTTTTCGTCTGCATGTACCAACACAAATTTGCCCAAAGGGATGGAACGGCCATAGATTGAAAATCGATGCCTTCTTGGAGCCATGGGTAGTTTAACTTCTCCAGTGAGGTGTCAGCGTCATAGTGTACTTTTAGATCGAATGTTTGAGAAAAATAGAGCTGATGTATGGATATTCTTATGCATATAACTACGCTCATCACTTGTGACGATAAAGAAGAACAAAAAATGTTTCACAGTATTGTGGATCAACTAGTACGTATTATGGGTCAGTAGGTTCACCGTGTTAGTCAAATGGAAGTGACCCATCATTGTGGGTGGTCCATAATACTGCGGTGATTGTAAATGTTAAAAGTTATTTATTTATTAGGAGATGATTGTGCAGTTGAATGTCGGTTTCCTAAGAGTGGTTTGAATCCCGAAATCAAATCTACGGATCATTCCAACCGTCTACCATCTTGCCACATCACAACTGAATCTTACCAATAAAATAAAATAATCGACTGTACGCATTATGAAAACATTGAACTTGTCCTCCAATATCAGGTTTTTATCATCGGAGATGAGTAAAAACCCATAAGATGCGATGCAGACTGCTGAACTTGTTAGCTGAGATGACTTCGAGATGCCATATCTTCAATCCATCGCAAAGCAAGTGGTTCGGCAGAATTGGAAAGGGGTCTGCGTTATCTATTACCAGTATGGGCATGATGCGACGGTGGTGTGGCCAATGTGAATTGTAGAAAAATGCACTGACGGAACTTGTTTTTCAAAACTTGTTGCAGTCAATTCAACATCATCGTGGCTAAGGATGGAAGAAAAAGTTGTGATTTGATTAAGTAAAATTAATAACAAGAGACGCTAGAGAAATAGCCATTATAACTGCTTTTTTATTTGCATCGGTTCGGAGACGATTACGTGGGTACTTGTGTGCACAAACTAGAAAAAACGGGTTCGTCGTCTCTAGTGGTTAAACGAGATTGTTTGATTTCCTACTTTGACAATTCTGGGAAGAGGATAATGCTCCTCATTGAACATACAGTATTGTTGTCATCTGGTTGACTGTGAAGTCAACTCACAATAAACTGAAGTTATGAGCTGATGCATATCACCCAGTGTAACATAAGTTGTTTGAACAAATGTTTCCCTTGAGTGGCTAAAATGAAATTCTAGTATCTAGTTAAAAAGAAGCAAAATTATGTTAACTTTTGCTCATCTCGTTCTCTTGATATCGGCAACGAAGAGACCATCGAGATGTGGAGAGAGCGAAGCTCAGAACAGTATTTCAACAGTCTTCAACATAGAAGAACTTTGGGTTCAAAAAGTATATTTATACCGTATTCAAAGCAAAACTCGAGCGCTTACTTCAAACCAGGAGGGTCAGGAGGCTTCACTTAAATCTAGCAATAAAATGGAATACTTATCTTAGAAACTTGTTAATTTTTTCAAAATCCGTAGGTTAAAAAAGTCAGAATAGAATACTGTCGAAGAATATTGAATTCAACATGTATGTGAGGGGTTTTACAACTACAGTATACCTCTGCTTCAAACTAAAGAGGGTTGATTTATAAAGAAACGACATGTCAAAATTGGAACAATCGAGAGTGAAGAGCATTTAGTTCTTTTAATTGATCAATTATCTATTACCTCAACTCTTTCCGTTTTTGAATTGTAGGCGTACCAAATTTGTAGTATTTTTTTTCAAAGGGAAAGTTGATTAAGAGAATCAATCAAAATCACTTGCATCCCTGCTTCCAAGTTTGGTTACAAGATTACAACTCTGGAGAGCATTGTGTGGTCGTATTCCAACTCTTTACTGATGTAAGCTTGATGGCCGTTTTATTGAAGAGGACATCCATGGCCACTTACGCTTGGCGTGTTTAGTGTAGGTGACAGCATCACGAACCTCATTTTCCAGGAACACCTTCAGCACACCTTGTAGATCAGACCGGAGATACGTTTGACACCACCACGGCGAGCCAGACGACCGATGGCGGTTATCTCGAAGAACTTTGCGATGACGCTTGACGCCTCCTTTACCAGACCTTTTTCTCCTTTGCCACGACCAGTCAATTGTTGCTTGTTAAGTGTGAAGGAGTGGACTAGCCACCACTTTCCTACTGCTGCTGCTGTTCACCACGCCGAAATCGTCCGAAGCGAAAATGAGCTTATGCCATACAGCAGCGCTCTTTTATATCTTTTCAGGTTAAAGCAGAATGATGTGCAACCAAGTGGTATAAAATAGAGATGGGCAAAACAGTTCAGTTCACTGAACCGTTCCTTGTAGAACCTTTCCGCATAAAGAACTAGTTCTTTGGAACCGTTCTTCGCTCTTACAGATTTTTTTCGTTAGTTGTTTGTTTGAAAAAAAAAATAGAAATGGCAAAAATAAATTTCAACCAATTTAATAATTTCCAAGCAACTTTTTCTTCTAAATAAAACATCCTATATTTTTGAAATCATATTTGAGTCTTTGGTTTGTATTCAATGATTTATATTCGGTGATCGTTTTTACAGTTATATAATACCGCGATTTTCTTAAAGGTTATGATTAAGGAAAATAATTTTCGAAACGTTCGTGGCCTTCAGTCTGCTCCTTCTTTCATTGCATATCTATCCTGTTTTAGAAAAAATGCGTTCGCATGGTACAGAGGTAGCGGGGATGCAAAGAATTTCTTGCATTACAGTATAAAGCCTTAGGTAGATCGATTTCCGTTCTGCCCACCATGCTAAAGGATCATTGATTCTTGAGAGAAGAGGTTCTGCCAAGTATTTGTCCAGCTCGATACTACAAACAGCAACGGGGTCTTGCTCATTCTGCAACTTGCACACGGAATCGTCAAAGTCTTCCCAGAGTGATGATTTTGGCGTTGATTTCAACATCTCCAGTTGATCCAGTTTTATTTCTTCAGACGGCTGATCCTCCATTTAATTTTGTAGTTTTCGTAGCAGAGACTCATATACCACCTCATACTGGCTATCTGAGTCAAAACCTTGCTTCTTGAACCGCGGATCTAGAATTACTGATTGAGACACTAATTCATTTGAGACTCTGGATCCTAATAGCTTGTTTATTTTGTCCATCAGATCGTTTCCAAGCTTCTTTATTTTCAGTGGGACGTCATTACCTAACAAATATTTTTGAACGCGTTGCTTCATAATTTTAGTCAGTACCACACTTTTGGACAGTGATACGTTCCATTTAGCAGAAATTTCAACTGTAACATCATAGAATACTTTTAGCATACCAACAGAGTACTCAACTATGCGCCAATCGTCAGTACCTAAAGCCAGTTTAGTATTCAACAATGCCAGCGTCGAAATTACAGAATTTTTGCTAGTCAAAATCCGATCCAACATTTCGTAGGTAGAGTTCCAGCGAGTGATTACATCCTGTTTCAATTTTAATGGTTTTTCATCAAGCTTGGTCTGCATTTCCTGCAATTTAACCAAAGCATGAGAACTTTTTTTAAAATACTGGACAATATGTTTAACCTTTTCAACCGTGGGGTAAATAGAAGTTGAAATTGCACCTTGAACTAGCAGATTAAGTGTATGAGCAAAGCAAGGCAAGTGATCTATGTTCATGTTAGCTGCATTGTCAGTAACAATTGCAGTAATTTTTGAATCAATACCAAACGAAACCAAAACTTTTCTAATCCAATTTGCGATGTTCTCACCCGTATGCCTTTCTTCAAACTCGGAGCACTCAAGCAAATAAGATGTCATTTGGTTATTCTTATCAAAAAATGTGCAGTGATGGCGTAAAAGCTTTGGTTATTGCAACTTGTCCATCCGTCACAGGTAATACTCACAGCAGACGTATCATGCAAATTCAACTTAATTTTAGAGAGCAAATCTTCAAACATTGTTGGCAGCAGGCTATTGGTTAAAGTTTTCCTACTTGGAAGAGTGTACGAGAAACACAACATATGCACA